TCAGATATTTTATGAATCCATTTATGTCCTTCCAAGCAAACAACCTCCACTTCCTATTCCTGATTAAACACAACATACTGCATGAAAGTTGCACTCTCAGTAAATAATGTTTGTAAAATAGATGTACTGTAAATTAAGCCATATGAACATATACAGTATAGGCCTCTCCATGTGTAATGTGTTTAATGTAGCTCTGTTGACTGCTTTTCATGCTTTAAGGTACGCAGTTATCAGTATTTCCAGAGTTAGTTTTAAAATCATAATATTCTGTGATCTGCATGGAGGATTTCATTTGAATTGTGCCCAGTGGAAAACAAATACAAATGTCATTGTTTTTTAATCTGTTAAATCGAACAACAGCATTCAACTAAGATAACGCCAGCATTTGGCCATTTGTGATCAGCTATGGTGTTCTAAATATAGTGTCAGATCAGAGGTGAAAAGAAAAAGGCATTTACCGTAGTCAAAGGAGATGACCAAATGATCAGATGTCTGTTTAAAAAAAAAAGACTTTTCACCTAAAGTGCACTTTCATTGTTTCATTGAAGAGTCTTAATTGTACAACATAAATACACATAGGTCACACCAAAAACATTTTGTTAGACCAAATCAATTAATCAAAAAAGATTATTTAAATAGGGAAGTAACAAATCTAGATTACACAATCTACATGAAAATAGATACAGATGTTACATAGGTAAAGTTTATGTTCATCCCTATTTGAGAATTGCCCATCATTAATGCTATTATTTTTAGGATTTAATGTAGCGGTATAATTCTGTAAATTTTGGCTCTCTAGCGAAAATCTGATGGCTCAGGGCACTCAACAACAACAATAACAACAATAATAATAATAATAATAATAATAATAAACTAAATCAACAAAGTGTCATGCCCATGAACTGTCCTTGTATTCCTGTGTTGTTGTGTTTTGCTCCCTATGTGCTTCCTTGACATAGTTTCTCCCATGTTGATTGTGTTCATTGATTTCAGGTGTTTCTTGTTGAGTCCCTCGTTAGTCATGTATTTAAAGAGTGCTCTGTACCTTGGTTCCTTTGTCCGGTGTCTAACTTTAATCCCCTGTGCAATGTGTGTGTTCCTGCATGTGAGTCGTTATTTGGTCTAATGTGATATTCTCTGTCGTCTCCGCATGCCTCGTTCCTACACAGTAGGTACATCGTGACACAAAGAAAGACATGAATGAATGAAGGAAGACATATGTATCATGATCAGGTAAGTAGCTTACGTTCCGCTGTTGTTTTCACTTGTTGAAAACAGTTAGTACAAAAGTTTGGCAGTGCTGACAAGTCGACTATCGATTGCTATTAATATCGTGCAAGGTAAAACAGAAGAGACAATATAACTTGGCTGGGCTATTAATAGACAAACAGAACAAAGTGATTAGTAAACCTATACACTGATAACATAAACATTTGTTTTGTGAATCTAGTCAGTGCACAAATATATGGAAGCTTGATTTTGCCACTGGAAAAAAAAAATAAGATAACCCATTTAAGGTAAGATTAAGGACCAATTTTCACTATTAACTAGCATGCATAGTACTAGTACATTGGCTGTTTATTAGTACTTATAAAGCTTATTAATGCATTATTTTAGATCCCTGAATCCCACCCCATACCCAAACTACCTTACTAACTATAAATAAGCAGCAAATTAGGAGTTTGAGGCAAAAGTCATAGTTAATAGTGAGAATTGGAACTTAAAATAAAGTGCGACCAAAGAGTCAGAGTATTTGGAGTCCCTTCTGTTTCACAAAGAAACATTCACAGCGCCCCAATATCTAATCAGTTTTTTTTTTTTTTAAGAGCCAGGTGAAGCTACAGAAGAAATGACTGTCAAAGTTTTATGCAGTGAATGACAGGCCAGAAACAGCCTATAATTCCAAGTAAGCAAGTGAGGGATTTGAGTTTTACTATGAAGCTCTTTTATGACTGACGCAGATCACAAAGTTTATTTTTCAACAATAAGTGCATGCACTCGCTTTATTACATTTCCTGCAGCTCATGTGACAACACTTGAGTTTAATGGAAATGGCATTAAGACATGGAGTTTCTTTAGATAATGTTTAACTAGTAAACCTAGAAAATAGATCAGCATTTTTCACGTGCCTTTTGTTGACAAAGATAAATACAATTGTTTCCTCCTTACTTGTATGCCTTAATTGTAATTGTCCTTGATTACATTGCAATGATACATGCTAATCATTGTATTTACAAGTAGGTTTGCTGTAAGTCAGAATTTATCTACCTTTTGTTGGTAGGCGAGTAAAACATATTTGATCTGGTATTTGCTGTATCCAGTAGTTGTTAACGGGGTAGTTCACCCAAAAATGAATGTTATGTTTATCTGCTTACCCCCAGGGCATCCAAGATGTAGGTGACTTTGTTTCTTCAGTAGAACACAAATGGAGATTTTTAACTCTAACCGTTGCAGTCTGTCAGTCCTATAATGTCAGTTGATGGTAATCACGGTTTTGAGTCATAAAACATACACAAAAAACAAATTAAACCCTGCGGCTCGTGGTGATACTTTGATGTGTAAAGACACAAAACGATCAGTCTGTGCAAGAAACTGAACAGTATTTATATCGAAAGGTGGCGGTAATGCTTTTCATTTTTGGGTGAACTATTCCTTTAAGTTTACAGTTGTTTACTAATCAGAATGAGCTTTATTGCCAGGTATGTTTACACATTCGAGGAATTTGTTTTTGTGACAGAAGCTTCCACAGTGCAACAGAATGACAGTGACAGAACAAAAAAAACACCGAAAATAAAAGAACAAGTAAATAAGGAATAAAAATATACAAATCGACAATTGTATGTACAGGTATATTATGTACAAATTGAAATGTAGACTGAGTATGTGTGTTAGATAAATAAGTGTATGAGTGAATAAATAGTGTGTGTTCCACAGTTATTGTCAAGTGTTCATGAGATGGATTGCCTGAGGGAAGAAACCGTTCCTGTGTCTGGCTGTTCTGGTGCTCAGAGCTCTGTAGCGTCGACCAGATGGCAGTTCAAAGAGGGAGTGTGCTGGATGTGAGGGGTCCAGAGTGATTTTGCCAGCCATTTTGCTCACTCTGGATGAGTACAGTTCTTGGAAAAAAGGGAGGGTTGTACCAATGATTCGCTCAGCAGTCCGAGTGATGCCATTCTGTACAATACATGCATAAGTGTCACATGAAATTTAGTACAATTAAATGTTTTTAATGGTGCTTGCAGACTGAATTTCAGTCTTATTGTTGTATTGGCTGCAGTGCCTGGGGAAAGGTGGAAAGAGAGAGCAGTTCATTCACTCCCCCACCTACAATACCTGTGCTGAGTCTCGAACCCACAACCTTCAGATTACAAGTCTGAC